CGTGATAATTCTCAAGGTTATTTCTTCTGAATCAATCAGATCATTCCCAATCAAGAATCATTAAAAAAAAAGATGTACTACATAAACAACAATGATCACATTTTCACACTGACCAACTGAGTAAGAACTCTAGTACGTGGCCTATATTGGACCAGGTTACCACAGAATTCTTTTCTATCATGGCAAACATGTCCAATTATTCTCAAATTCCAGTATCCTACCTAATTCTCCAACATTCTTTTCCTTCTAAAAGTATCATTATGAGATAATTTTCACATAGTGAAATCAAATCAAGTTTTAAAAAATATATTATTGTGATAGTTATCAAGAAATCATGCATGGAAACAATGTTACATGTTAGCTTTGTTTCTGGCCTTCCTGATCAAATTTATTCTCTTCTATTGCTTTGTTTCGCTCTATCTTCTTACAGTTTATTTTGTGAAGGAAAAGAATATAACAGAATTAATTTCTATTAGTTTTCTCTCATCTTTCTCTAATAAAGGTAGGATTCATTTTTAACAGTTCTCCAATGCCTACAGAATAAAATTCCAAATTTTAAGCCTATAATTGCAGACATCATACGAACTAGATGGAATCTATGAGCTCCCTACCTCCTCCTTCCATTATAACTACACTTACTATTATTGCACTCAGAATCCTTTAAGAATAGCTTCCACTTTCCATGTCTGCTCAAGCTGATTTTCCTTCCCTTTCCTTTTCCTCTACATTTATCTGAAGTTTATTCTTTGCCTCCTTCCTTGTGGGCAATATTCAAAGTGGATCTTCCCATGACCTCTTCTATCCCTAACAGTCTAAATCCAGAGGTATATCTTCTTTAAAACTGTCTGGGTGTTTTCATTTTGATTCAGTAGTTAACTTACCCTATGACTATGGCTTTTCTCCCTAACTAGGCAATAAAAATGGGCCAATACTTCTACATCACTGTACTCACTGATTTGCATGCTATGTTGTAAACATTCAATAAATATTTGCTTATTGACACAAGAACTGGAAGACAAAAATAACACTTGTACTGAAAATTAAGCATATAAATTTTATTGCTGCAATCTGTACCATAATAAGTTAAGTTAATGAGTCCTACTTTTATGTAATCACACTTGTCAACAACTACAGGTCATATGTCAGGTATCAGACAAAACTCTTACCTATTGAATGCAGCCATAACATTGTTCTCTTTTATCAACTAATCACACCGCAATTGTTTCATTGTCTCACACACACACACACACACACACACACACACACAGAAGTTTCATGAGAGCAAAGATCTGCCTTCTTCCCTATCATATTCCCAATGCCTAATTACACAGTAGTTTGTTAGTCAATCCACCTATCCATCCATCCTTCCCTCCCTAGGTAAGGATGTCCCAGCCAAGCAACACTGTACCACTGGCTTCCAGGGCCTCAAACAGCAGTTCTGGTCATCTGAGCTAAGATATGGTTAGTCATTCTACTCCAAAACGACTCCCACTTGTGCAAGTCCCATCTTTTATATCTAGAAGATATTTTTTTTAATCCCAGGAATTTTTTTTAATGATCATTTAGCTCGTGTATGACATGACAAACTCCATAATTTCAAGTGTTTCATGTTCTTTTATATTAATTCAGCCTATACATTAAAACAATGGAAATGTACCATACATCTATTTAATTTACAGGAATTTAATTATTATCTTCAGTAAAGAGACCAGGAAAAAAGAAAAAGAAATGATTCATGCAGAGCCAGCAGAGTATTGACTTCTATTCAATAGGCATATGCTTCACAGTGAGCACAAAGCAGGCACTAGATTTCTCCTGTCCCTTTGGTCTATCTCAGTTCTTACAAGCTTCATACACAAGCAATCTAGTTCATAAGTGCTAAAAATAATAAATAGTATGCTGCTCCAATATTGGACAAAAACTGCCCATTTGGGGATGAGAAATCGCTGTCAGTCTCTGGGTCTCCTTCCTGGGGTACTTTGAGAGTCCTCAATTTTCAGCTTATCTATGAACTTCAAAACCAACAAATGCATTAGATGCAATGCTACTATATATTGGGGTGGGTTGCTGACTTGATCCCCAAGTTTCTTCTTAACTATAGGCATATTTAGGTAACTATAGCCCAATGGGCTTAGAGCTACCACTATGAAAAAGCTCAAACACCTGCTTCTGCCTGTCTCAGTAATGTCTAGATGAGAGAAGTTACCATTTAAAACTTAAGAAATATGCAAAGAACAAAAGATGTGGAAAAGTAAAGGAAAGGAGTACCAGAGACCTTCCTGTACACAAGGCTAAGTTACTACTACAAACATTAAGACACAAATAAGCAAAGCACATCCATTCTAGAAAAGGAAGATCTAATTCCAAATGACAGCACACAGAATAGTAAGAAGGAAATCTACAATATCTATGTCTTAACATTATCAGTTATATAAACATGAGAGGACAAGTGATCATAAATGAGAGAAAAGGCTTCTTTCCAGCTTCTAGTAAATCACTACTATCATGAGAATCTCTCTTCAAAGTCCCAGCCCAATCCCAAAAATATCTCCTAAGAAGTACATGAACTATATGTAGTCCTTGTGTAGGCTGACTTATATTCCCTGTCCTTCACATAACAGTTGTAGGTGAATTTCTGTAAGTTAAATGAACAAAAGATAGGATTCCACTCAGGTATAGGCAGAGTAGATGGTGGCCTTCTTTATTAATTCTAATTGAGTAAATTATCATCTCAATTACACCTGGTTAGATGTCAAGAGTGATGTAGTCACAAGAAACTTATGCCCCCCCAAAGAGCAAGGGGGAGCTTCTTGATGGACTACAGGAAAAAAAATTAAAATATCCTAGCATCTTTACTATCTTTCCTTTGAGAAGCTGTTTCTCCTCCACTCTACTATGTGATTGTGGTGTGGCTGCCAATCAAGTACCCTATCAGCCTAGCCAGAAGAGTAAGCACATGATATTTTCATGTCCAATCTGGGCAATCAGGGTCCTTCCCTGGAATTCGTTAAGTACTGAAAACAGGAGTTTTCTCTCTACTGGACAGTACATAAACTTAGAGGACATAATATAACACAGGAGTTGTCTGGAGTCTGACTTTTGAGTGTTTATATAATACAACAGAATGAGGCTTGCAATTAGAGAAGCAGAGATGGGGACTAAAGAATTAGGAATCTTTTGTGTGTATTTGGGAGGGAGGCGGGTACACAAGAGTACCATTTCATGATTTTGTGACATCCTTGCTCTGCCCAGGTTTGTGAGCCAATAAATTTCTTTTTGTTCAAAGTGAGTTTCTGTCACTTACAACAGGAAGCGCCTTGACTTAAAAAGTGTTATTGCTATTAGAATAAATCTAAGAAATTTATTAACAGTGAGAAATCCAAGGCAAATCTACAGTTCCTGGCCAAAACACAGACTGTACTTCTGTAATGTTACATAGAGTGAAGATAATTCAAACAATTCAGGAAATCAGTTTAGAATAGAGCAGTTTGATTTTACAAATATATACAGAGGATAGTTGAGGTAGTGGGTCAATGTAAGATGCCATTTCAATTCTATGAAGCCAATAGAGAGATCAGTAGTTAGACCTTTATGAAGTTGAAAAGACCTCAATTCTCATTCACATATACAACTGATACTTGATGTCACAATGGTAGAAATGTCTATGGAATAGCAGAACACAGCTAAGAATCACCAAAGTACCCCAATATTGTGAAAGACAGAATCTCCTGCTAGTGGTAGTCCAAACGTACAAAAGAAACATATAAAGGAAAGTCAATATATTATTTTTCTATAGGTCTGTAAAGAATTCTTTCACGTTTCTTTGACCATATGAAGCCCAATAGGTCAAAAAATTTCATTTATCTTTATTGTGCATTCTATAGAACAGGCAAGCTATTACTACAGGATTCAATGCCTACTCTCTTGCTTAATTTTAATGACAAGCAAATCCACATCTTACACAAAACATGTAGATCCTCCATCTTCACATTAGATATACTTCAAACACACAAGTGGAACACAGATATATACACAACTGGCATGTAATTATCTCCCAAACACAGATGTCTATAAGAGAGTTGGCACCACAGCTAACATGTTTATTTTTGCCTGTGTACCTGCGTGTTTGTTTGTGTGTAGGGGAGTGTGGTAGGGTGGTGCAGAAGATAAAGGCCGTGCTGTGTACTCAAACTAGCCTACGGACCAAGACCTGGCATGTAAAGGTACAAGATCCCAGTAATGAATGTAACTGTACTGTCTACCTAGAATGTACCAATAAATTCAATTTAAAATTAAAAAGAAAAAGAAAAAAAATAGTCTATGGGTGGAGGAGACAGAGGGGACCTGCCTGGTTGGAGAAGGCTCCCAATATGTTCCAAATAACCCAATGCCACGCCTACCTCACCCTACCCTAACCTGCTTTAAGGCACACCCATTCTGTATACCCAAACACTTTGGACAGCTATTTCCCTCCTTCCCAAGTGCCACCCCTGGAAAATTAGCCTTGCAAGGCACAGGAGTGACCTCGAACTTTAGGGACCCACTTTTCATCCTGCTGCCATCACTCTGAGATACACTTTGCAGGAAACCAGGCAGGACCAACCTGCAGGACCCGCATCAATCCTGAAAGGTGGTCACCTCCATCCCGACCCGTCCCGCCCGTAAGAAGGGTTGGGGTGCGGGTCACCACCTGCTGGCCTCACGGTCGGGGGAGTGGGCGCCCTGTCCCTCAGCCTCGCATTCGTTTGGAACCAACAAGTGAAACCGCCTGACCCAGTTTCAGGTCACGCCCCTCTGCCCGGGAGTCAACCCCGCCTGGCTGTGGCCCCCGTCCAGTCAGCCCGACACCAGCTGCTCTGTCATCTCCAGAGGCCGCGCCACTGTCGCACGGGGAAAAGGGACCGAGACTCAGAGACCTGGCTCTCGCTCTCCTGCCACCTTGGGAAGAGCCCCTAGCCCGAGGACCCTCCCTGCTGACCCGCTCTCCAGACATGCTTTACCTCAGCTTGCAGCCATTCCGGACCCAGACACTCGATTCACGTGACCCCGGCCCCTGCTCTCGCGTCACGCATGCGCAATGCTCTTTCACTACTAGCCAAGCTTCCGCTTTCTCGCTGTCCCCGCCCTCTCTCCGGCGCGGTCCGCCACGCCCCTATTTAAAGGGCCAGTCTTAGCTGACGGATTTGGTGAGTGATTAGTAACTTGGGGACCAGGAGTTTGGAAGTTTCACTGGGGGAGGCGCAGGCCAATAAATAGCAGTCCTTGAGGTGAGAGAAAAAAGTCTTTCAGCTCTAAGACAGTGGATTCACCTGTCCTTCAAAAAAAAAAAGTACCCTGCCTTAAACCAGCCCAGAAAGGGCCCATGGGCTACTGATTCAAGGCTTTGGGGGTTTGCAATTAGCTTAAATAAATAAGTAAGTAACTAAATAAATAAATGTTTTCTTTGAAAAGATGAACTCAGGATTGCCACTCTTAAATTTTGCCAGTAAGGACAAGAGGCACGAACGTAAAACTATTCTCTACTGCTACTATTAGAAAACAATTTTCTCATTTATTGTCAATGATGCTCAGCAAAAAAAAATATATACTTTAATGTAAAAAATATAGGAGGAAGACCGGGGATGTAGCTCAGTGGTGCCATGAGCCTGCTTGGCAAGCACAAGGTCCTGGTTCAATCCCTGGGGGAAGAGAAGAGGAGGGGGCACGCTCTTAAGTAAAGGCGACATCTTTTAAATGTATTATTACAGACATCCCTCATGTCTGTATAGGAACGACGAGGTCATTAAATGAATTGGCCACTAAATGAGAAAGTGTATGTAGTATGTACATTGCAATATTCAGAACAACGAAATGGTCAATGGAAACTCCAACTGGTGACTGTGCTTTTATTTGTATAACTCTTACATGCAATACTGTAATGTATAACAGAACATAAAATTATGGTACGGTACAGTACAATCAGCAAAAATTACAGAACTGTGTAAACAAGGTGTACTGTGCAACAAAAGACATTGAGGCTCTATGAACAAGAGGTACAGAACTCTACAGACAAATTGGATTGTAATTCCAAACGACGTCAGAAGTCCAAACAGTCGCTAACTGGGTAGGTCATTAAATGAGGAACATCTGTACTTCTCTTATTGCTACTAAAGAAAGATGAAAGCTTTTGGGAAAGACTGGCCTTTAGAGTTGAGGATGTAGGTAACATTGGCTCCAGGATACAGAGCTTATATCTACTGGACCTATGATGAAGAAATCAGAAGGTAGAAGAAAGAATCAAGCGCACTACACTTTTGGGCACTCGGAGGACCCAGAGGTAAGAAAAACAAATCCCTACCTTTGCAAGTATTCTAGGTGTAAGAAATGCAGTGTACACACAACTTGATGGAACAGGCAGTCTGTTCAGAGTGATGTTAAGAAAGCTAAGGGACCAATATTTTAGGGAAACAGGTGAGGGAAAATGGTAGAACACTTCAGCGGGGAGGTGGTATTCTCTGAGGGCCTTGAAGGACTTCAGTAGGCAGACAGTAGAGAGAACAATAGCTGAGGGGACAGTGGAACCAACAGCCATCCAAAAACAAGTCTGGGCTCAGCTGCTGGCCTGATGTGGTTGTGATATGGGTGGTGGCTTTCAAATTTCCCTAATCATTTCACCCGTGACCACACGTATGTATAGAGGCAGTATGTGTATGATGTGCGTGACAGCAGACCTGTCTAGAGAAGGGCAGACAAGGTGGTAAGACCAGAAACCCTGGTGACAGAGAACTATTGAAAGGGCTGGCCACAAAGTAAATGAGAAATGTGGAGAGGGAGCTGGAGTCAGAGATGGGAAGGTTTATAACTGACCTTTTCAAAACGTCTCTGTGGGAGTCACAGACTTACTCTGGATAGAGAGCAAACCTAAGACTTGTGGGATATTGTGGAAAAGCAGATTTCAATTCATGATAAGGAGTGTTTTACAACACTTCAAGCTGCCTCTGCGATCTCTCCAAAGCAATAGTTCTTATATGTACCCCTGTGCACGGTGGCAAATAGTGTCAAATGCTATCCTTTTGAGAGATGTTTGCATTACTTACAAATAAAAATATTGTGTGTTTATTGGAGAAAACTTGAAAAATTCAGAATATATATTTTTTTTGGTTTTTTAAAATATATTTTTAAAAGCAGAAAACTACCCACATCTCAGAAAAAAAATCACTCATAGCTTTGACCTATTTCTGTTGGATAAATATATGGATAAATGTATATTTACATTTTGGTTCATTACCAGGGATCAAATTCAGGACCTTGTGTTTGTGAGGCAGGTGCAGTGCCACTGAGCTACAATGCCCGGCCCACTAAATTTACATTTTTGACATAATGGAACTACATAGAATATATAGTTAATTTTGTCCCTCAATGTAATATTTTTATGGTTGCATAATTATTAATCATAAACTGTACTGTTCTTTAACAATGTTCCTGGTGGAGCTCTGATGGAAATGTATAGTGAGATGAATGTTATTTACATGCCTGCTAACACAATATCCATTCTTTAACCTATGATCAAGGGATAATTTCAACTTTCAAGACTTAATATTTAAGAAATACATTTTGGGGGGCCAGAGATGTGGCTCTGTGGTAAAGGGCTTGTCTAGCATGCATGAGGCCCGAGATTCAATCCCCAGCCCTGAAGAGAAAAAAAAAAAAGCAATACATTTCATGGACTAAAGCAACCATAAATAGTAATTACTTTGCTGGGTCTACACAAAGCAAATCGAAAACCTTCTGGAAAAGATACACCATTCTAGAAGCAATTGAAAACATTCGTAATTCATGGAAGAGGTCAAGATACCAAATTTAACAGGAGTTTGGAAGAAGTTCATTCTAAACTCTGTGGATGACTTGGAGGGATCCAAGACTTCAGGGGAGGAAGTAACTGCAGATGTGGTGGAAAAAGCAAGAGATCTGGTGTTGGAAGTGGAGCCTGAAAACGTGGCCGAACTGGTACAATCTCACGGTGAAACTTTAACAGATGAGAAGTTCTCATAGTTGAACAAAAAAAGTGTTCTCATCAGACGGAAACTACTCCTGGTGGAGATGTTGTGAACAGTGTTGAAAGGACAACAAAAGATTTAAAACATCTAAAGTTGAAAGGCAGCACTCGAGTTTGAGAGAATTGACTCAATTTTGAAAGAAGTCCTGTTGTGGGTAAAATGCTATCAAATAGCATCACATGCTACGCAGAAATCTCTTTGTGAAAGGAAGAGAAATCAGTGCAGCAAACTTCCTTGTCTTATTTTAAGAAATTGCTCCATCCACCTTAATCGTCAGCAATCGCCAATTTGATCCGTTCACAGCAAGACTGAAACAAAGAACCTCCACCAGCAAAAACACTATGATTCACTGAAGGCTCCGTCCGATGATCATCAGTAATTTTGGCAATAAAGTATTTTTAATTGGGATATGCACATCTTTTAGCCATAATGTTATTGCACACTTAGACTATAGTATAGTGTAAATACTTTTATATTTTGCAAAAAAACTAAAAAATTCATGTGACTCACTAATTCATAGCATTTGCTTTATTTCACAGTCTGGAACCAGAACCACAATATCTCTGAGATATGCCTATACTTTAATTTATTTCATTATTCCACTACTTTTGGATATTTAGGAGGAGGTCCTATTCCCACTGTTAACAGGAATATTGCCATGAATATCCTTATACAGAAGTCTTTCCTCACAATTTAAAATTATTTCCTTAAGACAGAAACCTATAAGTGAAATTACTGATTCAAAGTCTTTGAAATTTCTTAAGTCTGCCAAATTGCTTTCCAGAAAGGTCAGGCCAGTTTTCATGTGCTCAAGGGTGCCCATCATACATACCCACTAGCATTTATTTTATCTTTTTAAAAAGCTTTGCCAGTTTGGTAGATGAAATGGCCTTTCATTTTAATTTGTATTGGATTACTAGTGAGGTGAAATATCTTTATAAATTCATCAAACCTTTATAGTTGTTCTGAGAATGCAATTTCACTGCCTATGTTTGGCAGTGAAATAGTACTAAGTGAATTGTTGCAGATTTATAGACTTATGAGAAAAAACAGAGAAAGGTTTAAAAAACAACTGATGTTGTCACACAAGTAATAGCCAAATTGTTTTGTGATATACTGTACTGAGTAGAAGAGTTGAGTCACCACATGTTATGTGATTAAATATGCCTGTGTTGCTGCAATCAGTACAATATTCATGTTTTGGAAGTAATTTGATCTCAGGAAAACATTTCTTATATTAAATCATTATGATAGATTTTTAATTTTCTCATTTGGTAAGGGTTTTTGTATCTTTAATTTATAATTTTTGTTTTAAAGATGTATAAAATCTGTAAAACATAGCGTCCTTCCCCAGTTTTGTGTTTATATATATATATATATATATATATATATATATGCACATAAACATATGTATGCATGCAACATTATAAAATATAAGCCAACTCTGGAGATCTTTGACAATCTTATTCCCTTATAAGGAATTTGAACAATATTCAAGTTGAGAAATATTGTTATAGGGAGCTTCTTAAAGTCTTATTTGTAATTTTCTAAATATAGGCATTAGGGCTTTAAATTTTTAAAAAGGTAAAAGTGGTGTCAACTTATATATTGGAATTTTTCTATGCAGAATATTATTATTTTCTTCCCTTTGAAAAAGAGTATCAATGGCTATGCTATGTTTAGAGTCCAGAGAGTATGTTTTATCTTAAAAATGTACCATTCATAAAAATTAACTCTGTACAGGTCAGTAAGACCTAGACAAAAGAATGTTTGGGTTTCTTAAACTTGTCTCTTTAAGATGAATAGGTTGAACAGATAGTAATTAAAACAGAACTTTCATGGGCTGGGGATTTAGCTCAGTGGCACCACACATGCCTCACAAGCTCAAGGTCCTGAGTTTGTACTGCCAGTACCAAAAAGAAAAAACAAAAAACCCATAATGAAAAGATGGAAATAAAGTGTTTGTAGATGGGGAGGGGAGGAGGGGGTGAAGGGAGGGCAGGGGTAAGGGGAAAAAATGAGAATCAAGACTTGTCATGTA